GATCGGTCAAATATGACCAATATGTCATATTTGTCAGATTTGTCCAATTTGTCATATCGGTCAGATCGGCCAAACATCAAATCACATGATTGGTTGTAGTTAATCGGCGCAGCATAGATCACGCCTTCAGCGTGTAATTACTTCATCTTCATTTTCACAATTCAATTCTCCAGCATTCATTTGAGTACCTCGAAGCTGATCATCAACTGAACCATTAACTGGTAAGGATAGAAGAATTTTATGATCGATAATTATATTAGCGTAGTAATGATTGTTCTCCTTTAACCAATTTAATGCATGAACCACCTTAGTACGACGAACTCTAAAATCCCTGAATGCTTCTGAGTTAGTTGCATGACGACGTATGATAAACACCTCTAATATTGATGGATGTCGAGGGAGTTTTGTAGCAAGTTCCTGAACATCTTGAGGAAAGTTGATCACGTTTCCATGATATCCGTGTTGTCCTCCGCGAAGTCTGTAAACTGACATTATAGGAAAAACTCGCACAATCAACATTTCCTCAATTTCTGTATGGTCTCAAAGTTCATCAGGAACTTCACCTGGGTCCATATTATTCCCTGCTGAGAATTTATTCAGAGAGGCCTTCTCAGTATGACAATGTCGGCATTCACTTTTATTAAGTGTTATGGATGGTAAGCTTTCATTGCATATAGGGCAAAGAACATTTTTGAATTTATCAACTTTATCGCGAAATTTCTTTAAAGATTTTGTTCGAATTTACTTAATTCACCGGCAGGAGATGGCTTGTCACATGTATCTATGTCACAATTGCTTTGACCAGTTTTTTGCTACGGTCGTTGCTGTTGTGAATTCTAATTTTGATTTAAGTTATTCAAATAGGTCCTTCATTCCTGAAAATCATTTACACGTTTTTCACGTTGTTCATCTGTTTCCATTGCTAACTTCGCGCGTTTTTGTTCTCTGTCACGTACAAGAAGCGCCTCATTTTCTTCAGCATTCTCTTTCTCTCTTTTTCGCTGCTTATATTCACGGTTTCTTGCAAGACATGTTTCACGTTCATTTTGTGTTTCATTCTCTCTAGCTCTACGTTTTTGAAGAGTTTTACAGCTTGTAAATTTATGTGCTAAAGAGAAATTCCATTAGTGGCTTGTATTTTGTCAATTAAACATCGTACAATGCGATTATCAGCATATTAAATTACTGGATTTATTTTTAGTGTTACATTTTAGAGTAAAATAGTATCGGTATATATTATGTAAATTATGCTTAATTAATGTTAATATAAATTTTAATTCGAATCAAAGTTTAATTTATTATTGCAATTATTACTACAATTGTTATATAATTTGTTTTTATTATAATACTTTAAAAAATATAATGTATATAAGGTTTAAATTAACACATAATCGCTCCGGACTCACAACGGTTTCCGTTTTCTAGTGTATATATATATAATATGAATTAGAAAAATTATTAAAATAAATTAATTTAAAATTTAAAAATTATTTTAATTAAATATATTAATTTCATATATAAGTAATTATTAAATTAAAGTAGAAGAAAATTTCAAAATATTTGGAAGAACAAATATATACGACAATGGGTTAGTATTATTTATTTCTCATCAATTCTTGTTTCTAAATTATATGATAAAAAACGTCGAGTTTTATTTGAAATTAAGATTTTTAGAATTACGGGTTGTTACTGCGCTTTGTGTAATTACACGTACATATATGCGTGGACATTGTGTTTCCGTTTTCGTTGATCATTGAAATAGGTTTGTTTTTTTTCTTTGAAACATGTTCTTTGAATAACTTACTTAATTTTAAAATTTTATTAAAAAAAAAAATTTGAAAAAAATGAAAGTAATTTCAATTTTTACAATCATGATAATTTTACAAATATCAACAACCAAATGTTTTCAACTTCCTCATTTAAAAAGACAACTTACAACAAAATCCAAACGCAGCAATAGTTTTATTAAAAAAGAAAAAGCTGACACAAAAATGAGGTTTGGGATACAATGTAATCTGGATGATATCTTTCTTTGTAAGAAAATCATCAAAGCGACTGAAAATGTTGGAACATTAATTTCTTCCGTAATATTATTTAATGAACCATTAATTGTAAATGTAATTATCGAAGAAGGTTGTGTTGAAGATCTTTGTCCGTATGATGGCGATATTCTAGGTAATGTTTTAACATTTCGAGACAGGGAACTTATGGTAAAAACCATTTTAATCTTTTTTTTTTTAAAAAAAAAAAAAAAAAATAGGAGGATCTACTCCTGGATCACTTGTTTTACTAGAAGATTCAGGAATCCTAAGACTTTATCCACAGCCATTAGCGAAACAATTTTTCAAGAATCATCCGGATTATGACGATATAGACATTTTGGTTAATTTTTCACTCCAATCAAATTATAGTTATTGGTTTCAAGGAGATCCTTTACCAACTGATAATACCACTATAATAGACTTTTCATATATGATGTTACATGAGATTATCCATTCATTAGGATTCTTTTCATCGTGGGGAATTTGGTTTGAACAAGTTGATGAGGAGATACCATATATTACTCCTCAACCTCGCTGTGTAAATCTTGATGATGATGAATGTGGAGAAATTGTGAGTAAAGATTTATGGACAGGATTTTATGAATTTGTATTTGATAAATATCTAATGGATTTGAATACTGGTGGAAAATTATCCGACAAAACTGCTCAATTAAATAAATTTTTCGGTCCAAATGGAATTCCCAATAAAAGTGAGAACTCTATAAAAAAAAAATTTTTTAATTCTTCGCAATTTGAAATTGCAAAAGAAATGAATGTATTGGCAACTACTAGTGGTACCATTGGATTCTTATCTTGGAATGATACCGATTTTAGTGATTGTCTGGTGCTGGAAACAAATATCAACCCTTTTGATAATATCGTTAGTCTCAGTCATGTTGACAACAAAAAATACAATAATACAAGTGATTTCTTAATGAGAAATGACCTGCTTTTAGGGAGAACTCTTCAAAGGAGTATTATTACTGGTGGGAATTACACAAATGGAACTTTAGCTGGATCTATTGGTCCTAAATTAAGAAAAGTTTTGGAAACATTAGGGTATGGAATCTTTATTTTATTTTTATTTTTTTAATAAAAAAGACAGAATCATAATTCATTTTCTTTTTAGATATTCTACCGTGGACAAACCATATACATTGCAGAAATTAAAAATTCCTAATCCACGTTCGATCAATTCAGGAAATCATTCAACATGTATCGCAATATGTCAAAAATATTTACTTGTAATTATTGTAATATACTTTATGTCATTTATATAATATAGGGACAATTCATTAAAAAAATTAAAAATCCTGTTAATATTATCAAAAACATACATACATATTTGGAGTTGAATAAAATTATTTATTTCATTATATCCCGATTAATTATTTTATTTTATTTTATTTTTTGCAAAGCATATTTGGGTTATAAATTTTCGTTTGCGCGTAATCTAAATCATGTGAAAAATAGCAATACAATTGGCTAATGATATTAGTTCATCTTCAAGGTAGATTATTTGTATATATAATGGGCAAAAAATTTCATCACGTAAAGTTTCTTCATGAAAGTTTCACTACCTTGTATCTATTGACCGAACCAAGACTGGGAAATTCAAGGTAATGACTTCATTGCAAGTCATGAATGTGTGTTGCAAGCTTACATGGACTCTGAAACGTCGTCAATTTGATAATTTTGAGGCACAACTAACTAATGGGCACCCAAAGATCCATTAATCTTTAGAACATTTCCCAGGAAGCCTTTTTTGAAGTCAAATAACGTTAATGGATTCAATAGTTCGGTTCGATTTGAATTTAATGTGAGTGGAATTATCGTTGATTTGGTAATTACGCTTATACCGTTAAGGTTAGCGATATGTTGAATTTGTAGATTTAATTGGAGCGATCGGAGAGCTTTTATTTCACAACTTGTAAAACCACACCACAAAGTCACACACCAACCAACCTTATTTCAATGATTTTAGTGATATGTAATAATTAAATTATAAATCGTCTCCTTTTTTATCTTTATTTCTGATATCCCACAAAGTTGGACTTAATTCGATCAAGAAATTAACGACACGTTCAAAAATGTAGGTCAAATAGATACGAAGATGCAACTATGGTATTTGATATGTAGATCAAATTGGGTTTGGGTAAACCATCTGGCTCATACTTTTGACAGAACCCAAGATATACAGTACGTTAAAGCTGTTTCGAGGCGGATCAAGTTTCGTGGCGTGGAAATATGTGATACATGTACATTCTACTCTTAAGAATTTGTTAATAATAACGCCGACTTGAATTTTATCTTTATCATTATTAACAACGTCGTAAGTCATTATAATTTTAATAAAGCTTTTTATTGATGATCATATCTATGCTATGTCACTGACAGAAGGGCACAGGGCGTTCTTAGAAAAAGGGCGCATTTAAAACTTTTCAAGATATTTTCAAGTTATTTTATTTCCATACGTTAAGAATCGTCTTTTGGATCAATCCTTTTCTAAAGAGGAAATTTTTTTTTCTGAATGATTTCAATCTTACATTCATTGTATATTCTATAAGAATGGTGTCTTTGAACACACCTTCTTCGAAATGCACGTCTATTTCCCTGATGTCGAATCAAGTATACAGACTTGGAAGAATATGTTGATTAGTTTAATTATGAGCGATATCTCTAATATTTAAAGGTAATTTTACATAGCTGAATTTTTCGTATTTTTCTCGAAAACAAAAACTTCGCAGTGCCAACTGCGAAGTATGCCGAAAATATGAATTTAAGATAATGGTTTGAAATATTGACTGGTTGTTTTATGATCCTTTTTTATTGCTGCGTTCATAGAGGGAAAATCATGTTCAAAATTTAAGTTGCTTTACTGAAATAGATTCCCTAACCGCACGCTGGATTGGGTGTTCCCATTATCAAAGGCTGAACTTAATACGAATCCTCAAAGATATTTCTGGTAAGCTAAGGTCTTTCTAAATAAAATCTATAAGTATTTTTTCACAAAAATTTTCATCGTGTGTCAAAACGTAATGAAATGATGAAGTTGATGTAGGTAAGCAAGAATGCATCATACATAATCAAAGTGTTTCGATGATGCAACTGTCGCTTGAATTGAATAACAAAGTATAAAGGTTCAAATGGTAATGAAGATTATTATTCTTTACAATACATTACAATACAAATCATACCTTCAGAAAATTTTGTCGGAATTCTCATCTTAATTTGTAGGGCCAAAGTGCTTTCGCTTGAAAATAAGGATGAGTTCGTTATTGAACGATTATATCGGTCTTCGAGCAATAGTTATCTTAAACAGACACAAGGATTTTGTTAACAGGCACTTATGTTCCTTTCTAATCCAAACTGTGCTTTATTATTCAAGAGAGGAGAAATTTTTATTTTGTTATTACGTATTATGAAAAATGATTATCGAGAAATGCGACGCGATTCGCTTATCACTGCGAGGTTGAATATTTCCGAAGAATATACATTATTGTCTTCTTTCCTACAGTTACTACAAGTTTTCTTTTATAAAGAGAAAATAATGTATTAGAATGGGTGTAATGGTAAAAAAAAAAATTTTGATAAAAATAGTCGTTGAAGATCTCAAAAAAAAAAAATAAAAATAAAAAAGAGTCGAAAATAAAATGCCGAAAAAGAGAAGTTCTCAAAAAAGAAAAATAAAATAAAAAAGATAGCAAATTGATAAAGAGACGGAGCTGGTAGGAAGAAAGAAAAAATATTAAAATCAAAGATAACGTCTACCGCTCGACAAGAACAATAATGAAGCATCAGCTTTTTACGGCCGGAAATCATTCTCTGCCTAGTGAAGCAGTTTCTCACTCTCAACTTTCTTAAAAAAAAGAAAGGAATGCAAGCAAGTTACATAGCTTCCGCTCATTCACGGATAAACATTTAGACAGTAGAACATTTATTAGCAAGTTTTACACTTACGATGAAATTCTTGGCATTACCGCAAAGGAAACATAAAAAATCAAAGTTGTGAGAAATTTCGAGGTATATATACTGTACATTTCTCGAGTCATATGACGCGTATCAGATCATCGACAAACATAAATAACGCGTTATTTAGATCGTAAAACCCTGAAATTAAGCAAAACCACTAGGGTGTCCTGGCAATTTTTTTACGATTACATTCAAATTTGATTGGGTGATTTAGTCGATCACATGATCAAAATTTTGATCCACGGATTACGTGATAGCTAAAATTGGTGGTACTTATAGGATATGTTTAACATTCATCCCCGTTATACCGTAAATTAATTTTTTTATTGATAAAAAAAAAATACATGTTCATACTGTAAATGTTTATAATTTACATATAAATTACGAATCATTTTGTAATATTTCCCGTTTCACAATTTTAAGGATCTCGATTTCTTTGATGAGGAAAAAGTTTGAATCTAATATACAGCTTTCATAATGGCTTTGATTGCATGTTCCAAAATTATCATTAACGTTAACGACCAAATCTCTATTACCAAAATTCAATTTATAATTATAAAAATTCGATTTATATATCGCATTTTCGTTATCTACAACTCGACTAATCTTAATATTTTTTAAATCTTCCTCATCTAACGAAAAAATGAAACTGTCATTAGTATCGATCCAGGAAAAATTGATTTCACGTGCATAATTCGTGTTAACATGATTCCAACCATGAGGGTTGTAACCACCAATTATGGCATCATCTTCTTCAATCTTCATGACCAAAATACACGGTCCCTGATTATGACATTTCATACGTACAGTATCGATATCATAACCATCTCTACTTCCATGATAAATAAGTTCAAGATTATATCTAACATCTATTGGAATTCTATCAAAAGGATCATTTCCCTGGATCCAATTAGCAAGGATGGCCGCATGTTGACGATTAATAATTATTGATTCAACAAATACCTTTCCTTGGCGAGGAAGTAATATATTATCTTGACTTGGTTGAATATTGTCATCATGATACGACAAAATCTCTTCATAGAGTTTTTTAGGTAAAACTTCCGCAAAAGGTTGAACTTTCTCATAAAAATCCGTTGAAGAAATTACAAAGAATCGAATGTGTGTTATAAATTGATTCAAGGTCTTTTTCAGAGTAATGAAATCCTTTTTGTCCCAATTACTTAAATTGGTCATATCCTTTCCTTTCAATTCTGCATTTTGGGCAATTCCCCATTTGATAAGGTAAATCCATAGATCAATTTCTTTAACGCGTAAATAATCCTTTCTGATTAATCCAAGTAAAATAATTTTTTCTAACTTTGAAATTTCCGAATTAAAAAAAGGCTTTGGTTCCTCGCAAATATAATCCAAACAATAATCTTGGAGTTTTCTACAACCTTTCAATCGGAATGCTTCGTGAAGTACCATATCAAAATTTTGTTCTATCCATTCATATCGTTTTTCAACCAAATACTTTGGTAAATAAATTATCAATTCTTCGAGAAATAATCCATGAGATGCCACAATCAAATCAAATATATCCGAACCTAAATGGCTGTCCAAATCAAGGAGGCCAGTATATATATAACTAAGGATAAAAAAAAAATTGTATTCAATGGTACTTTTTTAAAAGTATCTAGAACAACGGGATCCTTACCCAATGATCATCTCAAAGGCTCCGGGAGAAATTTCTGGCTTGTCAATAACTAAATCTCCTTTCCCTTTCTTTGAGATAAGATTTTTAAAGTAAGGTGATCGAACCTTCAAGATATTAGAATGTGCACGAAATTCTTTAACATTCGAATCTTTTCCAACATTGATGGTAACATCATAATCATCTGCCTTATCATTAAGCAAACGAGAAAAATTTTGAGAAAGTTCAGGGAAGAACTCTTTGGCCATTTTAAAAGAATTTTATTTCAAGAAAGAAAAAGAAAGATATAAATAAATATAAATGATAGCGCCAAACCTTATAATTTTCTCAATCTAGACTAATTAATTTACACAATAAAATCAAATTTATCAAGAATCACGATCTTTTTTAAAAATAAAAATAAAAAAACTAACTATAATTACAGCACATGTTGTTTCACGTAGGATTATCATGTGATTCACAAGAATTTCCTTTTTCGGACTTTTCGGAAATTAATAACCAAATGGAAATATTTTTTTTTTGAACTTCATAACCTCATAAGTTTCATTCATATTTGAATAAATTCTTTACATTTATTTTTTTTTTAAAAAAAATAACTTTGTCTTATATTTTTCCAGCTTAACATTTTTTGCTAAAGTTTAATCAAAATGTTTAATTCACCTCCGACTTCTCCAATATCAACTCCTCCAACCCCTCTAGCCAGTGAAAATAACGATGAAAATGATGAAAATAATGAAAATACACAATTATCGGTTTTCAAAATATCAAATCAAACGATAACTCGTCGTTTTACTATGCAAGCAGAAAAACCAACATGGGTCGAATTGGAATTAAAAGTCCGAGAAGCATTTTCGATTCCATCTTCAGTATCTCCAGGTTTAAATTATACAGATGAAGAAGGTGATAGTATTACAATCTCATCTCAATCTGAGCTTGAGGATTACTATAAACTATTCAAAGATCGTAATTTATCCGAAAGTTATAAATTTGAGTTGGTTATTTTTACTCCCATAAGAGACTATGTTGATGATACACATGTTTATTCTTCTCCTGATTATGAGGAGGAACAAGAAGTTCGTGGTATTTGCCCTACTCAGTAAAATTCTATCAGTGTCGAGTTAATTGTCTAGAATTTATTTATTCATTTTATTTATTTTAATTTTAATTACACCGCACAATTCAATTTACATATTTGTTAATTTTTATTCTGATAATTAAAACAGAGAACTTTTTTTTATAACAATGTATTCAAAAGAAAAAAATATATTCTTTTTGATTCTTTTTTACTTTTTAAAAATTTATTTATAAAAGAAAGTATTCATTAAAAAATAACAACAATAATAAATTTTTAAGAAAAATAAATAAAAAAAATCAGAAAAATAAAATAAGTTATCTTTAAATAAATTACTTTGTTCTCAACATTGGATCCCTCCTATTTAACCTTTTGGTTGTTTTCCTTTTTTCAGATTATTTCTACAAGACTTGAACCAAAAAAAAAAATAGAATGATATAATGAATCAGAGAAATTGATTTATATAATAATACAATCAAAATTCTATAAAAAGTGAAGATATATTAGCAATATTTATATTAGGATTGGTAATAGTCCTAATTGGTCCTAATTGGTCCTGATTAATTTTAAAAAAATTATTAGTTTTAAAGATTAAATTTTTTTAAATAT